ACTTTGATGATCCATTTGGGTTGATTAGGGTGAATATGAATAAGGAAAGGTATAATAAGGATCGTTTCATTTATCCATCCTAAGTCAAACAAGTTTTTCATGTCTATGATCTTGTTGATAAGGAATGGTATATGGCTTTGTGGAGCAACAAGGAAGTTGAAGAAATGGATAGTGATTTCCAAGACCAAAGTAGAAGAAATAATGAAGTTGAGGATGATCTATTTTGATGGACATCATTTGAAAATGATGATGATTTAGACAATATTGAAGATGTTGTTTCTATGTCAGACGTAATCATAATAAGGGTATTTTATCTCTAAGATAGGGAAATCAATTAAATTGAAGAAGAAAACTATTAAAGTAAAACAAGAAAAAGGAAAGAAAGAATTAAATAGGTAAATGACTATTTTTAATAATTCAGGTTAGTTATGATGTTACTCTTGTTTGAATTATTATTGTTTGATTAAATCTTGATTATTATTATCTTTCCAGGTAATTGACTACTGAGGGTAATCATCCAAATACTGGCTCTAAATCCTAGTGTCAGGCAAAATGATGATGAGGCTTAGAAAAATGTTGACCTTGATAGGGAGGAAGAACAACTTAAGAAGGGATTAGATGTGATGGAGCAAGTTACTAAAGCAAGAAATGAAGGGAAAAAGTTTACTATTAAGTAAAACAAAAGAATCAAGTAGTAGATAGTCATAACTTTGTTAGTTATATTAAGGTGGCATTGAATCTTTTGTGCTCATCACTTTAAAATCATGGAAGAAAGCAACTCCTACAATGAGGGATGCAGTGTGAATAATATAAGATACTATTTACTAAAGAACTTTTTCATTGTATATGTCCTTTTCACAAGTTGTCTCATTTGTTTTGTAGTCAAGATTTGAGATTGAGGAGAGGCACAAAAAGTTTGTCCTACAAAAAGTTGGGTTGACCCTTAGAGCTTTTGGAATTTTATCACTCATAAACTCTTGGGAAACCTCAACATAGAGGGTATTAAGGATATAGTTCCTCCCCTTATTAGGTCGATTGTTAGTTTGGATGAATGGAAAGTTTTAGTTGACTCATGCCACAGTCCGAAGTTCAAGGTATCACTTCTTGTTTATATTTTGTTGTTTTTGTTGGCTTTTACTTCCAATTTATATCAAGTGACTTATATATTTTGTATTTCCAAAGGCATTAAGCACAAAAAATAAATAGTTGGAAAAGAAGAATGAGTATACTTATAAGGCTGGGCGCAAGGGGTATGTGGGCATTGAGAAGGGCTTGATTGAAAAAGAGCATATGTCAGAGGGTTCTATATCTTGTGGCAAGATTTGGGCCTGGGCTTGAAAAAACAAAGAAGGAAATATTGATAATCCAAGGACAAAAGCAGTTGTAGACACGATAGTAAGTATTAATAATATAATATTATTTAATTGTTTTCAAGTTATTCAATTTACTTTTACTGCTTTACAGGAGGCTTTGACAAAGGAGGCATCAGCATGCACTCTTACTGTTGATGAGGATGTCTTGGAGAAAAGCATTAGGGAAAAATGATCATTCTAGTTGTGTTCAAGGTGTTGGCTTTGGTATCACAAGGAAAGAGTACATTAGGTCATATCATGTTAAAAAGATTGCTTCTTCTACTGGGGTTCAAGAATTAAGGCAACAGCTAGTGGAACAGAAGCAACACATACAAGCACAGTCATAGTAGATTCAAGAAAAGTCTAGACTCATTGATAGTATAGGTTGGGGCTTCTGTTGGGCAATGCTAGCCCTAGTGGGAATGACAATTGTAACCACCCTATATCCCCACGATATAAGCAAAGGATTAACTTAATCACCACTAATCGAGCCAAACTGTAATCAAATATTTTGTTTTTAAAAAGCTTGGGCCCAAGACTTGTTTTGCAAGATCATCAAAATCTTAACATATCAAAGCCATACATAGTGAAAAAAAATCATATGCATTCATATCAATCATTGCATGCCTTTGAAATAAGGAAATAAGGTTAGATTATAGGGCATGCACCACATGCATCGCGGCATGTGGCACAGAGCCACATGTTCTAACCTTCTTTATACTATGCATCGTGGCATGATGTTCAATGCATTATAGTGCACATGCCAGTTTTATAGCTATCATTTGATAGCATACAGGACGAACTTTCGGCATGCACCGTTTCAACATATGACATCCGATAGGATAATTCAAGCACCCACATGAATCTTATTACATAAACTAATTAATGAGATAAATTTAGACATAATGCAATGATCTAATCAAAATTTGGACAACCGGGTGCTAAAAGTTACTTTTATAAAAATTTAACGCACCAAAGCACAAATAATTTACATTGTCTCATTAGACCATTCTAGGCCTTGAACTAAATCCAAAAGGATCTAGTACACCTGATTGACCAAGTTATACAACAAATACACACATATATTACAATTTGACCATCTAATGGCCCATTTCTGCATTTTACAGTATTCACAAAAACATTCATTTAACTATTGTAACCATATTATCACTATAAACTCACTTTGTATTCACTACTAGCATGTTTATAGTATATTCATAACTAAATCTTAGCCCCATTTAATCATTTCACCACTCATTTCCACATATGACTAAGAATAAAAAAATCACTACAATTTTCCTTATTTCACAACTTAAACATGCATGCAATCCCTATGGCAACTTATATACACAATATTTATATTAAATTGGTTCATTACATTGACTCATAATTATGTGAAACTTCATTTTCATTGCAATTAAATTATGTGAAACTTTCTAATTGTAATTCTATTTATAAGGGCCATTGGATGTTACTTGTGATCAATCTAACTACAGGGAGAGTCTGGTACTTTGACCCTATTAGTGGTGGCAATCTCAGGAACAGGTTGCATATAGTAGAGATGATTAATCAGTAAGTTGATTAAGTTTTGTGAAACTATGGTTTTCCCCCTATTATGATCAAGAATCCAACATCGCATTGTACCGATGTTAAGAAGCATAAATCTCCAACATCATACCCCATCTGGGCACTAAAGAGAGAATTTTCTAACACTGCACCTATGTTGGCACTAAGGAAAAGGAATATTCCAACATCATACCCTATCGAGCACTAAGGAGAATAAATTCCTTGTGAATTTTTACTACTCCTTCCAATGATGAACTCCTATCCCTTATCTTAGTGTGTGATACATAAATAAAAGAGAGAGAGATTTGAGTAAGGAAATTACACGGGTAACCCTTTCTATCAGACAAGAGGAGTTGAGGTAACCATATAGTTTATTATGTTTATTAACTATTATAAATGTGTAGAAGTAAATATGAAATAGTGAGTTTGGTCTTATGAGTTTTAGCATGAATATTAATTTGTGAAATGAAATTTGAAAAGTCATTAGTTTTAATTGATAGTTATATGTTACATATAAAGGTGTATGTTATGAAAATGTGAAAGAAAGTAGTGAAAATTATGAAAAAAGCATAATCATAGGGGGTGGGAGTTCACCCAGGATATGTGGGGATGTGTGTGGAGAAGTAAGTGAGAAATCCATATGGTCGAGACAGCACCATGGGACATCTGGTGCAACATTATACGAGCTGTTATTATAGGTAATTCGATACAACATACTATGAGACTGTTACCATAGTATTAAACTAAGGGGAAGAGTTGGAAACCTTTATTAAATTCATCTTAAAATCAGTGGACTTTGCTTATAGTTAAGACAAATTTGATAGTTATTGCTTATATCTTAGGTCGGAGGTTGTATCTCTGTTTTTTCCTAACCTAAACTAAGATAACAATTTCACGTGAATTTAAAGATGATTAGATAGATTTGGCTTCACCTAGTTCACCTTTTTAAGTACAAAAAAAAAAAAAACAAGAGGAAGAAAGTTTCCCCCGTTTTCAAAACAAATAACAAGATTAGATGTTTTTTATTTCTAAAGAAGACCTCGCCTTCTAAAAATATAGAATGATCCAAGCTAAGTACAATCTGTGGTGTGAACATGATTTGTTAAGCTTATTTCAAACTTGACATGATTTTCAATTTGATTGTAACTCAGCACAACCAAAGCTTGTTGGAGTTATCCATCTGTGTTGCTAATATACAAGTATATTTTTGTCAACATTTGTATTAACCAACCACTCAAACGGTTCTACCGGAAGAATAGAAACCTCTCCACCAGTCTTTATGTGACCCTTTTTTATGCTGTTTTCGCATGTATCCTCTTGTTAGAGTTGATCTAGTTCAAGGCATTGTGAGACACTAAACGTGAACATTTCTCTTAATAAGAATTCGAATACTGATTCATCACATACCAGCCTTTTTAACTAAACCCACTCCTTGTTGCTTGCAGCTCTTGAATATTAATGGGTATGCTTCAAACAAAAGCTTATTTTCTCTAAGCCCAATTCATTAAAGCATCTTTCAAATTTTAAATACTCACTCCATCTGAAATTATAAAACATTTTGAGAGGGTTCAGCATCTTGGAATATAAGATACTTTGACAAAAATAAAATTTTATTAATAATTTTTTTAATATTATCATTTTCATTATATTCTATCTTTAATATTTTTTCACAAAATATTAGATAAAGGATTTTTTTTTTTGAAAAAATGAAGTTATAAAACATATCAAATGAACTTTACTCGTACGTATAATTTTGTCAAAAAATGTTTTATAAATTAAGAACGGATATTATATTTGTTGTTTCTTTCTACCCCTAGATGTCGAAACTTAAAAACCTAACCCTAGCCAATCAGTTGCATAATGATGAACAATTTATTATTACAATGAATAATCCAGGCACCAACTAAAATTGAATGATGCTGTCAAAAGCCACTTGCTCTAGCTTCATTTAAAATGTTCCTTGCATTACTTTCAGATAATGTCCATAAACAAGATATTACCATCTATTATTAGTACAACCATGAATTAGTTGCATCCAATAGACAGGTTATTACACCCTGGTTAGTTGCATAAACACAAGGATAAAAAGAAAAAAACTGAAATTGATAGAGTATTTTGATTTTCATTCAAAAAGTAAATCACTACGGTACCTTCATAATACAGTGTTAAAATGACATTTCCATATTCTGTGATCTAACTAAAGCCTTCAATTTCTTCTCTTTCCTCTTCATGGATCCATTTTTGTTCTCTTTTTTCTTGGGTTGCTCCTCTACTACTGGTTGAGTACTCAACAAATGTTGATGAATAGCAGATAGGGGATCCGTTTGGAACGAAGGATCATTAAGATTTTGCAAAAACCGTGCTTGTTCCTTCACTCTGAAAAACAAAGACAAGTTAATAAAATACATTGTTACACGCCATATGTCAAATGTGGTCATCATATGATGTTGAACTATGACAGAAGCACTCACAATATCTTTTGTCTAGATTTGCAATTTAGTTTCAAGTTACCCTTATAAGCTGGCTGTCCCCGTGCCTTCAACTCAGGAAGGGAATCGCAGAGTGCAGATAGGTCATATGCCTTCAATTTCTTCTCACGTCTTCGTTGATTTCTATTCTTCTGCTTGAAGATAATTTCAAGTCGCATAAATATATGACTACTAAAATGAATCAAGACAACTATAACAAGCCAAGACTTGGAAATTAGATTCTCTAACGTCAATCAGTTAGACATTGGAAGAGAACGACTCAAAAGAATGTATTCATGCACGGAACTCATTCCTTTCCTCTATGCTGATTCTCGTTTTTCTTTTTTTTTTTTTTAAATCTCTCTAGATGCATTAAATTCAGTATAAGGGGGGGGGATAGAGAGAAACGCTTGGACCAAAAATCACCTCAACAACCCAAATCACAAATGAAGAGAAGTGCACAGAAATTTTCTAAGCCAAAAGCAAGAACTATTTATCAGCAAAGTATTGAAGTTTACGGCATAATACATTTGCTCTCCATTTCTTGAATTGGTCAAACTATTACTTAGTCATTCCATGGTTTCATATAGGCACAGGTCTTCAACACCATATATTAATAAATGTCATTCAAGACAACTAAGAACAATGCTGTTGACATAAAATTCTTACCTTCGTAATTGACTTTTGAGCACTCAACGAAGAAACAGCAGATCTAACCTCTGCATTGATCAAGGATTGGGATGAGGCGAATTATTAACACATCATCAGATTTACCATGTAATATGCATCAAATACAAAGAACTTCCAATCCATATGAAACATATATAAATAATTCATAGATCTAACACCAAATCAATGCTAAATTATTCACTTTCACAAGCACCAACTATTTTGTGTAACAACATATAGGATATTCAACTTATCATAAACAGGACCACAACAATAATAAAATGCAAATCAACATGGCACGTGCACAAATACGTACATGTATAAGGGGGATACACCTAATGCAATGTGTACTTGGTTACAACAGGTGAGAGGTATCATTAAACTATCACTGGATCAAAATTAATCAGTTAAAACTTAATATTAGAGCGCCTCACTAATGCAATACAGACGCTAAAAACTACCCTATAATTAGTCATCTACTTCCACGGAGAAACACAACTACCATAATCCTGCATCCTAATCTGAATTTTACATTACTATATTCCAAAAAATTGACTCAATAAAAAGATGTTAAACCATAATTTTACAACAAAAAATAATAATAAGGCAAACTTGTATCATCTTGTCGAGATGGGTTTCTAGTCTCTCCTCAGTGATTTACTTCTTCTTGGGCCAGTCAAGTCAGAAGGATGTTCAACAAAGTTTACCATGCGATTGAGCCAAAGGAAAATAGATATATATTCAGACATATCTATTTGTGGACATCTACAGGCAGTGTTTCATCACAGCGTCTGCTTCTCAGAAGCCCAGAACCGAATAACTTGGAAGCCCACAACCCAAAAGATTACAAAACCTTTTGGCATGTTCAACCCAAGCAAGAGATCACTTCTTGAAAGCAAAAGTTTTGAGTCAACAAATGGGGGAACAATGATACTCTTTAACTAAATTAGTTCATATGATTCATCCTTGGACGTTTCACTGCATTGATTATCTGAAACCATTCAGATGATAGTTTTGCAATATTTCTGAAAAATGCAATTTCTACACTCCTCAACAAGTATTCTGTTCTCAACTGTCAAGAAAATAAAGAATATCACTTGCTTAAGTAGCTGTAGCATCATAGTCTTTAAACCCTAATATTATGCAAGTTTCCAACTTGGACAAATGATTGTTCATTGATCTTTGAAACTTCTCAATTGCTGTATCAGCATTAGTCTTCTCCCTGATAGTTTCTCCCAATTATATGCATAATCATCTTCCATATTCATTATAGGAGGATCAATGAAAGCACCAATTGATTCATCATCCATGTTCACAATAGCAGGGTCAATAAAAGCACCCATTGATGCAACAAAGTCTCAAACACACACATTCACAAAGAAAACTCCACAAACATGAAAGGATATTCCACTCAAAAGTTCAAATGGATCCTTTACAAGCCTCTCCTAGCTTTACTTACATGCTAACCCTGTAACTACTTCAAGTAGCCGTATCTATTGCCCTAACGACCTATAGGCTATACCCCTATTCCTATCACCCACATACCACAATATTTCTGTTTTATAGATTAGAAAGAATGGACAAGCAGACTAAGCTTTTAAACAAATACACAACTACTGCTAGAATAAGAAAATTTGGAATGTAAAAGAACGTATAATGTTAAATCACTACTTTCAATGAACTTTCGTTTTTCTAATTAACAAAAAACTTACTGCTATAAAATTCCAGCTTCTTTTCAAATTTGCGCTCAGATTTTGATCCTGGTCTGCATTCGTTGATGATGAAAGGAAAGATATGAAGCAAAACGAGAAAATACAGCATACAGAGAGAAACAGAAAAGTTCAAGCTTAAAAGAAATAAATAAGAGAAGTTCACAATGACACGTACCTTACATTAGCCTTGCCCATCATTGATATTTGTTTCAGGGTTCTTGTGTCTAATACGGTTTGTTGATAAGGGAAGGACTCCAGCAAGAGAACAGTTAAAGGTAGTCTTCTTCGTCTTAAATCGTAAAGGTCTCCTCTAATCGTGAAGGTCTCCTCTGGCACAAGGGAGAGAAATCAAGTAAAACAAAAATATAACCGCAGATGTACCTCTCTTCGATCGATGGGCGAAGGCAGCTCAACCCACTGATTCAACTGGCCGATCCTGACAATACGATATTAAAGACAGCTCACAACGACTGAGAGTCTGGAGCAGGAAGAGGCACTTGACGACGATGATGACGGAAGGTGGCAAAAGGAACAGGGGTCTAAGGGAGCTGGAGCTTCACCTTCGTGGACGGCACGAGAGGGATTGAGGGTCTGATGGCAATGTCCCCGAACCCTTTAGTGTGAACTGTGAACGAACAGCACAAAAAAAAAAATAAATAAATAAAAATAAAAATAAAATCGAAATTGCAAATAAGGACCGAGGACTATAATAAAATAACCAATCAAGTTGCCAAATTATGAAATTATATTTGAAGACCATTGTCCTTTTCTGTAGTTTTAAAAATAATGATTTGATAAAAATGTTCCTGGTGATCTAAGTTTATAAGTATAAATTTTTTTTAACTCAAATAAAATGATTTCACACCCTCTTTAACTAAAATTTTCCACCTAATTAAAGTGATCTAATACTAATAAATTTTAAATTGGCGAACTGCAAGTCATTTAAATACTAATGATTTCAGAAATGTTGTCAAAGATGAGAGATTCTTTTTGACGGGTAGGTACTTGAAAATGACGGGGATGCTCTTTTTTTTTTTTTTGGGTAAGCCCAAAAACTAAAAGAGATCACACATTAGGGGATTAGGGATTGAGATCCCGGACCTTCAGAAGAAACGAAGCCCAATAAGAAATTTCCCCCTTTGCCAGCCTGACAGCCACTTAGTTTTGCTTGGTGGTCTGTGGATGTATGTGTGACAAGGAATTGAGTCCACGGTGGGAGCAGGAAGTTACAAAAGTTGGCACGCTAATCAGTAGTCACTTTAAAACTTGTGCTGAACCTAACCACCACTTAATATAGTACATATTTGAG